AAAGGGCATCGAGCTTAGTCAGAGTTCTGGGAGCTGGGGGTGGGAAAGGAACTAAGTAAGTTCAGCAGCCAGGTCTGAACTTGACTGAGCTTGTATTCTTTGTTGTAACTTCTGTTAATACCCCTTAAATCTGTAAAGCCAGGATGAAGTACTGTTTATATGAAAATATATATAAATGTTTTTTAGATATCATGCTGTAAGTGCATATAGTACTATATAATTATTCTGATAGCCTTCTAGTCAGATTACCTAGAAAATCCAAAATGATCTTGATGAACAGTAAGACATTATGATTTCATGGTTCATATACCTCCTACCTAGATGTGGAATACTTATATCTAACAGGATTACCAAATTACATACCTTTTTGGATATCAATAACATGCCAAAAATACCAGTGTATTTTCATAGGCCAGTTATGGTATGAAACATTAACATTGCCAAAAGGAAGATTTGCTCACACACATATAGATAGTCTTTTTTTTTTCCTTTCTTTTTTTGAAGAGGTTTTTGCTATAGGGCCGCGTGCACTCGCCAGAAAGACAGAGACCGAGAGACAGAAAGCGAGAAATCACCCCTCCCCGGGGGGGAGTGGCCACACTGCAATCCCTTCTCCTCCATTCTCCTCTCGGGATCTTGGGCATGCACACACATGCGCCCAGCACGAGTTTAAGCCACCGGGTCTGGGACTCGAACCGTGGTAGACTATATGGGAGTCCAGCGACATAGCCATTATGCTAACTGCTGGTCCCACACATTTATATAACTTCAGATTTCTCATACTGTTTTGTGAAAGGTAGGATGCTCTTTTTTCATTGTTTTTAAACCTTTCTTTATTCAGACTATGAAGGAAAAAAGGTTATTTTTCTAGATAACAGGCAGTATGATTTCTTTTAATTAACCTAATTTTGGTGTAGGAGTAATTTAGCAAATACACAAGATATTTAAAAGCTCTTGGCAAGTCTTTTTTGCAAACAAACCATGGATGGATTTCAAAAATGTTTGCACTGAAATAAACTCATTTTAATTCCATTTTTCTTGAACTTTTTGAAGTCCCCTTGTATGTTTTCTGACTCGGCAACTACCAGAGCATTCCACTGGTGAGCCATACAGTGGGGCCACATGGTTGTTGGTGTCCACTTAGAGTGCGGGGGGGTACGAAAAGTGGTGACAACAGGCAGACAGTAAGAACATGTGCAGCCCTGTGCTGCTGGAGAAGTCCAGGGCATGGCGAACCAGCAGGTGAGTTCCACAAAGCTCTCTGTCATTAAGAGAAGAAAATGACCCATCCCTAAGTGAAATGAGTGCAGGCAGTTTTACTCATAGGTTTAAGTGACCTTTGTCCAAAAACTCCCAGATGTGTGTTTCCAGTCTTGACCTCTGGGTTAGTTTCCTCAGGCTGTTGTAACAAAGTACCACAGACTGGGTAGTTAGAACCAGAACTTTGTCATCTCAAGTCCTGGAGGCTGGAAGTCCAAGATGAAGGGGTTGGAAAGGTTGGGTCCTGCTGAGGCCCATGAGGGAGCGTCTGGCCACCCGTGGGGGGCGGTCTGTCAAAGCCTCTAAGCATCTGGTAGTTCACTGGCAGCCCTTGGCATTCACAGCTTCTAGTAGCATCACCCCGGTCTTTGTCTCCATCTACACACGGCAGTCTCCCGGTGTGCGTATTGTGTCTATGTTCCCCTCTTTGGTAAAGACCATTCCTATTGGATTAGGTGCCCACCTTACCTAACTACTTCTATTCCAAATAAGATCGATATTCTGAGGTATTGGGGGTTAGAATGTGTGGAAACACAACTCAACGCATGCCAAGATCTCTCTTGTTGTCCATGAAGCCCCTTGTGGCTGGACACTACACTGTCCCTCGGGTACCTTAGATTGAATAAGGTCAGGACTGGTCACATTTGCCCGTAAGACTCTTCTTTCCATTTTATCCCCTGCCCTTTCTTCTTCTTTTGTCCCCCCCTTTAATGTTTAGTGGCAGTATCATCATCCCACCCGGCAAACTATGATAGAAGTCTGGGAGCATCCTGGCCTCTTTCTTTTTTTCTTGTAACATCAAATTCTTACCAACTGCAGTCACTCCTGCCTCCACTCATATAGCTCTGGCCTTTCCTTGGCTTTTATTCCTAGGGCTCCCTGTCTGCTGTAAGCTTCTGCTATCCTAGCCAGGCTTTCTCCACAGCTCATCTCTCCTCTTTTTTTTTTATTTATAATTATTTTTAAATTTAACTTTATTTATTTATTTATCTTAATTCGATCAGGGAGAGACAGAGTGAGAGAGAGTGGGAAAACGAGAAAGCAAGCCACCAGGTTTGTGACTCGAACTACGGTTGGTCATGTGAGAGTCTAGTGCCCTTAACCAGGATGCCACCTACTGGCCCCTCTCCCCTTTTAATTCAGTGCTTTCTCTAAAACAAAAATATGAACCCAACACCAGTTAACTCAAACACCTTGAATAATTTTTCATTGCCTGCAATACAGTTGAGATCCTACACCGTGGCCCCTAAAGTCCTTCACAGGTGGTGGACATTGTAACCAGTCCCTAAATCTCTAACTGCTCATGACCTACCGAAGAAGGAAAGTCCCATTCGTCTCTAAACACAGCATTTATCACTGTTTTTTCACCTCTGTACTTTGCTGTTCTCCCAACGTGGAATGTCCTCTCTCTACCCAAAACCCCCTCTGCGTCTTCCCACACTGAGTGGAATTCTAGCAGGTCAAGTGGAAACTAGGAGACCTGGATTTTAGACCAAAGTGGTAGAAGCCAATTGTTGCACTTTACCCCAGTCCTGACCAACTTCCGACTTCAGTGTCCTCAAAAGTTAACTGAGAAGGCTAAAATGAATCATCTCAAGATCTTTTCAGTTTTAAAATCTGTTCTTGAAATGCCACACTGCCATGAAGCCTTTCTCAAATCTTCCTGTCCAAATGAATCACTTCTTCTGTGCCCTGGAGTGCTTTATTTGTTTCACTTTTGCCATTGGCTCTTGTATTGTTGTGGATTTATTGGGTCATCAGGAAAGTCAGGATACTGTTTTGCATAGAGAATTGTGACATGACTCTCCGACAACCTAATAAAGGCTCATGACTGCTCCCCCTCTTCTCCACCAAGGAGTGAGCTCTTTGGGTTCAGCCAAGAATGTTTGTCTCCTATTCGCTTCTCCTCCCACCCCCATCCTCTCTGTGTCTTGCTTACACAGGGATTCTAAATGGGACACACTGTAGTAGAGAATCAAGTGTATCAGGCAAGTATTGTCACGCATGCTGGTCCTGAATGTTCCCCTGCATTTGGAAGGATGTTTTGGATGGTAAATGATATAAAGATATTGTATTCAATATACTGTGAGTCTTTCCTTCCTTTGTAGCATTATTATAATCAGGTGGCATTGTGGGAAACAGCTAAGTCAATGCCAGCACTTTGTATAAAGATGTATTCACTCTGTAAAATGTATAGAAGTCCCTAAGTGTTCTGAGAAACATACGAAACATTCTTACTTTCTTCTGCCCCCTAGAGCCTCTAGAGTTTTGGACTGCCTTAATGTATCATTGAAATATTAGGATACTTAAGATATGAAACATTTCTAGGAAAGGTCTTATGGACTTATTTAGTCCTTGGAAGTCAAGAGTCAAGTCTGTCATGTTTTGTATTTTTTTTTTTTTTTTAGATTATTGCTATAGAGTGTGAGTACTCATGCCATATGAGAGAGACAGAGACTGAAGAGAGAGAGAGAAAGTGAGACATCATCCCTTGGGGATGAGGGGGTTGACCACATGGGAATCCCTTCTCCTCTATTCTACTTTCTGGATTTTGGACACACAGGCACACGTGCTCAGCGTGTGTTTCAAGCTCCTGGGACCGGGATTCAAATCATGCAGTCAGCCCCGTGGCATCCAATGCGTTAACTACCATACCATCTGCTGGCCCTCATAGTCTCCTTCAAGCAAATGTGTGATCGTGTTATGACTTTCCTCAGAAAGTTTCAGTCTTTTTTTTTTTTTTAACTGTTACAGCACTATGACTAGGCCCTTTTCTTGCCTTCAGGGCCCTCTCTGTCCTATATTATTACCCCATTTCATAATGTTCTCTTATGTGCTCCATTGTCCAGATGACAACCAGCTATTCATTTTCCTTGGGCGTTCTTAAACTTACCTTTCTGCCTAACGTGTCCCCCCCCACACACACACCCATTGCTGCTTACCAAAATTTGACTCATTTCTTTAAGGCCCAACTCAAATTCCATTTCCGCCACAAACCCTTCTTAATTTTCTACCAGAATTCTGTTGTCATCATATTGGTCTTTGTCTTATAACTTGTCTTTCCTGTATACTCCTGTTCCTAGGTGAGTGCATGTGCCTATCAGCCTAGAAGTTCCTTGGGATCATACTTCATGTCTGGTTTATCTGTGTTTCCCCTGGGGTATCCTAGTTAATTCACATGTGCTAAGTAGATATCAATAATGAATATCTAGAGATCATTCATATATGGTGTACAAGGGGGTGTCAGTTTGTAGAAAATAGAATAGAGTATGAGTTTATTTTGGTGCCAACAGTTGGAAACTTGTGCACAGATTTTTCATAATGGACATTTTCCACGAACGTTTTGAAAACCTATTCTGTAAGGGTAGATTAATGAACAAGAAAGCCGCTCCATCTTGCTACTACATAGTCACCTCTTAATCTAAATATCTAAGCTTCTATGATAAAATTCACAACGTGCCTGAAGGAAGACTGAGATATGAAAATAAATGATGCTAGATAAAATAGTCACACAGGTCATTATCATGTAATTAATGTTTTACCAGGTGCTCAAACCAGTCCTGTTAGATTCGGTTCACTGAGCATTTCCATATATACGTGTGTGTGTGTTTATAAATATTCTAGGTTTGAATTTTTTTTTTTTTGGACAGTGATATATTTTTCCCATTGTCTTTATCCATATATGCTTTAATTTTCCACAAACTACTCACTTTGTGCTTTGTTCTTGTTTTATGTTACAGATTAATATCCTTTCAAGAATTTGTAGCATTTGAATCTGTCCTGTGTGCCCCAGATGCTTTGTTTATGGTGGCCTTTCAGCTGTTTGACAAAGCTGGCAAAGGAGAAGTTACCTTTGGTAAGGAGTGTGATTGTGTGAACGTCTGTGTGAGTGTAGACTCCTGTGGCTATTGTTGTTGTTGTTTTGTTTTTTTTTTCTTCAGGAATGAAATGAAACATACAGAAATGCTTTTACTAGATTAGCTCACTCCTTTTAACAAAGATACTTTGATGTCTATCAGGGCTCCCATTCGAATGTCTTCCTATTTGCAAAAACAATTTGCTTTGCAGTTTTGGTACCCTGGTTTTGATTCATGGTGGTGGAGAATGTGGTGTGACCCTTCACAGGATCACAGACTGTGATGGCCAGACAGGACTCTGTTTCCTTTTCTTCATCATCCAGAGTGCTTTCCCTGGCTGGGATGAAGTTAATAAACGTGTTATGAATAGAAGTTACTCATGCACCCAGGGCTTCTTGTCCTTACCTTGTCCTCATGGAGTGGTTCAAGGCCAGAGGTGCCACACAAAGTGGTGGTTCAGAATGGGACCTAAGGCCCTCGCTCTCTAAACAGTCCGTTCCCCATCACTCTGTTGGCAGCTCCTGTTCTGCTGCTGCCTTCTGGATTTAGAAAGGCATAAACATCTTCACGGGGATTAGCTAGAAAGCTGCAGCAAACCCTGAAGTCTTTTTTAAGTACCTAGAAGAAAGAGAAGACCAGGAAGTGGGGGCCTTGGTAAATACATTTTAAAAATAAACTGGCTGCTGAAGATAGAACTGACAGAAACGTCTGTGTCTCCTTGGCCTGGGTGCTGTCCAGCATACATGGTCTATGCCGGTGACCTGCACGAGCACCACCCATGAACTTTAGAGCCCTTTGGGCATGTGGATTATACTGTCAGGGGAGGAAGCTAATGTGCCCATTTTAAGTGTCTTTCTCGTTTCTAATTCATTTGGACCTCTTGAGCTTGTCTTACTTGATGTATTGTGGGAAGTATATATTCATGGGAAAATGCAGAGAGAGGAATAGAGTATAGGTTCTAGACTCAGAGGGACTTACCCACTTCCACTTGTCTCTGAGCCAAGTTGATTATCTTCACAACCCTTCATTTTTTGTATCCCCAAGGCAGATACTAAACACATAATGTACAGATACTTATTCTGTCAGCCATCTCCCCTCTTACCCTCACATTTCTCTATACTCATTTGACATGACAGCATTAAGGTTAGATTAGATAGGTCAAAGGCAAAAATTATAGGGTCAGCCTGTGACCTGGTGGTTAAGGGAGCCATATCCCACATGGCCAACTGCATGGTTTGAGTCCTAGACTTGCCAACTTGAAAAACATGCCAGGTGTATATGTATATGTGTCCCAAATCCCCAAAGGGTGGAGAAACAGAGGAGAAGGGATTGTAGCATGGCCATGCCCGCCATGAGGGGTGTTTTCTTCCTTTCCTTTTGTCTGTCTCTTGAGTGCGATTGCCTTCTGGTAAATGTAAAAGTAAAAGGTAAAAATGATAATCTTGCCTGGTATTGTTTCAAATAATCTATAAGCACAGAAGCTTTCCATGAACATTTCATGAAAACTATTTAAAAATCGCTGTTAACGTTAGTGTATTTCCTTTCCCATCTCCTAATTGCTCGTAGTACCACTCGCAGCCACAGCTTTTCAGTGGAACACACACACACACACACAAAAGATGCCACCATGTTTGCAATGATATATCCGATGGAAGCCAGTTTGATAAAACTGTTATGATAGTGTTTTTTTGGGTGTGAATAGAAAAAGCCAGTGAGTTCAACTGAGTTCAGCACATGAGTATGTTTGCTTTTCTTCCTGTATTCTTCAGCAAGTCTAGATGAAAGGAATGAGCTAGAGATGGAAAGACTGAGGGATGGGCTCCAGATGTTTTCTTTCTTTTCTTTTTTGGGGAGTTTTTTTGTTTTTGTTTTTGTTTTTTTGCTATAGGATGTATGTGATCACTGGAGACCCAGAGGGACAGAAAGCAAGAAATTACCCCTCAGGGGGATGGTCACACCGCAATCCCTTCTCCTCTAGTTTCCTCTTGGGATTTCGGGCACATGTGCACACAGACCCAGCGTGAGTTTAAGTCCAGGACTCGAACCACAGTTGACTATGTGGGAGTCGAGTGATATAACCATTATGCTAAAGGCTGGTCCCTCTCCAGATGTTTTTGTTACTAGCAGTGATTCTTCCCTTGTGTATAAAGAGCAAGAGGTGTTGGTGGCACCAGCCATGTCACTGGTCCTGGGGGAGGAAAGAATCAGGAGTCCCCCACCAGTGCAGGGTGGCGTGTGAGTCAGTGTGACTCCAGGAACTGAATAGGTAAAAAAGCAGGATGCAGGAGACCAAAGCCATCTGTGAATTCTGGAAAACACGGTGGCAGGAGAATTCTGTTTTTTTCCCTACTAGTTGTTCATTCATGGACAAGTCATTTCAACTTGCTAAATTATTTTTCTCAACCATAAAAATGTGTTAATGTTTAACTTACAGGACTATGTAATGATAAAAGATCCGCTGCATATAAAGGCACTGTCTGGACAACAACAGACCTTTATAAAAAATAATAACATTAAGAGAAATAGCCTGAGAGAACAAAGAATTTTCTTTCTCCTTCTTTTTTTTTTTTCTTTATCCTTTGGGAAACCCTTTATTTTAATTTTTATTCTTTAGGTTTGTTAAAAACTATTCATTGTGTACTCATTGAAGAGAAACTTTTCTTAAACTCAAGACAGCCTTGAGGTCTCACTTTTCTTCACTGTTACTTTGTTTTAAAGAATGATTTCTTTAATTTAATTTATTTATTATTACTAATTTGCTATAGGGCATGTGCACTTACCAGAAAGAGACAGAGAGAGAGAAGGAAAATGGGAAAGCAAGCTGCTAGGTCTGGGACTCAAACTGTGGTCAGCCATGAGAGTCCAGCTCCTAAACTACCATGGCATCTGCTGGCCCTCTTCACTGTTATTATAATGAAGAACTTGAATTGAGTCATATTTCTATGTATGGGACACTGACTGTCATTCTCGGTGCCTTATAGATAGTCATCTCTATACCCCATGAAGCTAGGGCAGAGGTTTCTTGCCTATCCTTCCTTTAAAGTCTGGTTTGAGAAGTGGTAGACCAGTGTCCCAGACATTGAAGTCTGAGATACTGGGTTTGAGGACTTGGGGGGAAGCTGAGATCTTACCACTCTATGTTCCTTCTCTTAAGTCTCATGAGAATTATGAAGACTGGGTTTCTGTCTGAGGTTTCCAAACCTCTGGATGTCCAGAATACACAGCATTGTTCCTAAATGCTTACTAAATTGCATGGAAGGGGACATTCAAAGGACTTGCAAGATTGTGACTTGTTAACTGCTGTTGGGGAAAGTGGTCCAGCAATAGCTATTGAAATATGTACACATATGAGCTTTTTATTATCTATTTATTTATTTGACGGGGTATCACTATCGTAATTCTCGTGCCTTAGCCTAGCGGTATTACAGGCATAACTGGCTCCTTTTTTGAAACATGGTCTTGGTATATTTGTCTAGGGTAGCCCTGAACTCTCAGACCTTCTGCCTCAGGTTCCCTGAGTTGCTGGTATTACAAGTGTACACCGCCATGCCCCACCCTTAGGCTGGACTAGGAACCCAATCCAGGTCTCCTGTGTGGTCCTACCCTGCAGAGCACAAAATATGCACTATGTACCACTATGGCTGGACTGTCCCTGGTGAACCCTGGTCTCATAAACCCGAAGTTGTAAGAGAATGAGATTCCAGGTCTGTAACATAGCTGTCTGCCCATATGAATCTGTTACAGGCAAACGACATGGCAGCAATAACTTCTGATTGCTTCCATAGCTCCTAGTACATCCTCCACCCAAAAATGGCCTGTTAGTAATTCAGGTTTTTTTCCCTTGAAGTGCATCTCTGGGAGTAGTCAGTATGACGTGGTGAGAGAGGAAGGGACTCTTCTTTCATTTCCCAGGTTGGAACAGACAGTAGTCATGATCTTAGGGTAGGTATTGTGTTCACAGTACGCATAGACCTACATGGGGTCATCCAGGGGTGTTGTGAAGCCTGGAGAGTAGCCATATCTCCCAGTCCCCATACCTCCCAGTCTTGCAGTTATTTCAGAATAAGAGCAGCTGCATTCTTCACTGTTTAGGTATTAGGTTCCCTCATGTGAGTGTGTTTGAAGTAGGGTTTCTGTGACTCAGCTCAGTGCACACTAATGTTTGCCAACAAATGATCATTGTTCACGCACCAGCCAACACTGATTCTGGTACACACTAAGCAAAAATCAGGTGGAGTAAGGGGCAAGTCATCAGTGTCACCTTTTTTTTTTTTTTTGAGAAGTTTTTGCTATATGGCATGTGCTCTTGCCAGAAAGATAGAGACAGAGACAGAAATCAAGAAATCACCCCCCAGGGGGGATGGCCACGCCCTAATTCCTTCTCCTCCATTATTCCATCAGGATCTTGGGCACACACGCACACGTGCCTGGCGTGAGTTTAAGCCACCGGGTCCACGACTCAAACCGTGGTCGACTACATGGGAGTCCAGCGACATAGCTATTATGCCAACTGCTGGTCCCCATCAGTTCACATTTAAATGAAACCTTGCCCTGGTTTTTCTGAGGCCTTCTTGACCTTGGCATTTATAGTATTTTTCTGGCTGGATCACTCCTTATATTTGCTACAATGAAAATATCTTGATTTGGTCAATTTTATTACTTGGTTATCTAGCTCATTATAGTCTCCTAATTCCTTTGAGAGAAAACTTCTCTTTGGTGTGTTCTTTGTCAGCACGCGGTATTATCAATCATTTTTGTTTTAGTGGTGTCTTACTATGTGGCTTGAATGTACATTTCCCTATTTGCTAAGGGATCATGCAGCTTTTTACCCACATTTATTAGCCCTTCGAATATCTTCCTTGTTGATGTGCCTATTGTCTGGACATCAAGCCTCTGTGGGTTACATGTTTCACAGATATCATTATTGTTTGTCCTGTACTTTTACTTGCTTTCTAGAAGTTAAAGAAACATGAGTTCCTAATTGTACCGTAGTACAGAT